TAGCATGGAATTTCTGTTGACAAACCCTGGTCATGTACTCTCTTTCCAGAGGAGAAGACTTCAGTGTCTCTACTTGGGCCCCAAGCTGCTGGATGTAGACGATGAGTTCTAGGCAGGTGACACCGAAAGAATTGACTCACTTGGTCCAATCAACTTCATGTCCCCTGCACAGCACCCCTGGAAAACTGGGTCATTTATTGCTCCACCCTGACTTCCATGGCAGGGTTTACCCATCAGGATAGTAGAGTCATTGAGAAAAAGAGTGGCCACGTAATCAGATCTGAAGTCTTAGCTCCTTACTAGAAAGTGAAGCCATCTTTGCAACAAGTGGTAGCTCAAGAAACTGCCTCAGATTTTTTTCAGGAAAAGACCTGGATATCAGCCATCAAGTATCATTCCAGATCTATTTCCAAGGAGATGGCATCATTTTCAACAATGTGTGGAGGTTCTTGAGGCTTGGATGTGGTGAAAGGCAATTGCAGGAGATGGTGGATCAATGGCACACTTTCCACCCTGGATTTCTGACCTTATGGGAGAGACCAAAACACAGAGAGGTACTTAGAGAAATCATCTGCTATCAGGACAACATAATATGTGGTAGTGGATGCTGTGCATTCACAGGAGCTTGAAGGTGCTTGTTGCATTCTTTGGAGCCATCCATTCATCAGGCCCTGCTGAGAATAAAGGCTCTGTCAGTGTACAAGAAGTGCAGCTTCCTACCTGGTAACAGTTAGAAAGGCACAGAAAGTCCAGGCTTCCACTCTCCTAGTGTGGCCTTGTGATCATGAGTAGATAATGAGTAGCCCCTTTGTAGTTTCTGAGCACGACAGATACCATACTGATTGATTACAGGAACCCATCTACACTGAAGTCTGTATCAGCTGATCATTATTTTCATTGCTGAGTAGATTATATTCATGGATAGTATCTAGTGTTCTATTTAAAAATAAGAGTGACTCTTGGGTTGTTCATAGCTTCTAACTCAAATACAGATGCTATCAGTATTTTGTTACATTTTAGGAAATGCATAGAATGCTTTCTTCTGGATCAAACCTCCTAGGTCTTGTTTTAAATATGATTTCATAAGAAACTGTGAGGCGTGTGGTTTAGAAAGAAAAAAAAATGTATAGGAACTTGGTGAAGAACAGGTTGGTGGTCCCTAGTGATATTTTAATGTAAACTTGTTTACTTTCTTATTTATCGCCTGCAGTGGAAATCTGAGAATTCAGATTCATAGAGAAGAAGGAATTGTCCTTGGATGCAGCTGAAAGCTCTGAGAGGGAAACACTGTTCCCAAGAGAAGCCCCTTCCTTCCACACCCAGGTCCACAACAGCCCTAAGGTCACTTCATGTGGTTGGTGAGACCTAAGCACTCCCAGTCCTGTGTGTGGTACCTGCCATGGGCATCCATGTGTCCCCACCCATCATCCTGGTGACACCATAAGAAGGAAGGTGTTAGTCCTAATGACACCCCTCCCCCCACAACTCATCTCACTTGAAGAAACACCTGGGCCCTTGCAATGCTGTTCAACATCTCAGGACTTGATTCGCCCACTATGCTAGTCCACATGCATCCACCTCACACACTGCTCTCTTTTATAGGACCTCTCTGGCCCTGAATCCTGGACGGGGCTACCTGGCATCACAGATCCTATTTTATTGGAAACATTCATGGGATAGTCATACTCCTTTTGAGGTTCTTGTCCCAAAGTGAGCTCTTCAGAACAAGATTCCACACCAACTCGCTGTGTATAGACCTGACTCCATTACAATTCTTCAGGGTCAGGAGGTACAAACTCTCCTTGAAAACATGAATACATCCCCAATTACAGCTGGTGTGACATTTGTAGTAAAATATACATTAACTAATATTCACTGTGCTAATTGGTTTTAAATGGACACAGTCATGTTTAGTGCATCCACATCATTGAGCCATTTCATCATCATCCTGATCCAGAAATGTTTTTTTTTTTTTCCAAATTGACTCAGTGCCCTTTAAATAATAACCCCCCATCTCCTCATCTCTACTCGTGGCCACTTCATGCTGTGATCTGTCTCCAAGACCTTGGTCACTCCAGGTTCTCACAGGCATGGAAGCACACAGCCACTATGATTCTTGGAGTGAGGTAATTCTCTGGACATTGTGTCTCCAAGGCTTATCCATTTTTTCATCTGTCCACATTTTCTTTTTAAAGGGGAAGGGATACTTGTCAGTGAGGATGGATTCATCTTGCTGTTGAATTTCTTATTCTTTCTCTCTTTTTTCCACAGGAATGACGTTGCTTGTAAACAGTTTTTTTTTTTCTCTTGTCTGATCAGGAGGGAGGGGCCCAGCACAAGGAAGGTGGAAACCAACTCAGGTGAAAGGAATCAATAGGCGATCACATGAATTGACTGGAAACAACCATGAACAGAGGCTTTGTAGAGTTTGGGCACACAGTAATAACTCTCACAGCATGTTCATGGTCCTCTGTTATGGTCTCCCATCCATAAGGAAGCAGCAGCATGAGGAGGAAGGGTGGGATGGAGACACAGCATGTGTGATGGGGGCAGGACTGATGGGTCCCTGGGCCTTACAGGAACTGGTCCACCTCCAGGTCACAGCTTTCTCAGCCTGGTGTTGCTGGGCGGCAGTCACACATCCCACCTCTGCAGTGTAACTCCAAAGAAATAAGAGATAGTGACAGAAATAAGGTTCGGGGGAATTTGAGAGTGAGAGTGACATAAGAGTCACAGAGGAGTCTCAAAGTTATTTCCAGCCTAAGGATGAAAGCCTCAGATGCAGAAGAAGCCTGTGTGGCTTGGGTGCTGGAGGAAGGACAAAACTCTTGGATGTCCAAAGCTAAAACATAAAAATATCCATGTTAGGAATAGTTTATAATAATAATTTTATGTTTAGTAATATGTTGGTTTCAAGTTTGTTATAAATATGATCCCACATATAGGAGAGTTTTTCCCAAGACTCAATTTTATCTAAGTCAAACACCTTTGATCATGATTATATGAGGAACTAGAATATGTGAGCAGCTGGGAGCCCTTTGATTCTTGTTGTGTGAACGTTGTATTTGTGCCCAAGGCTGCCTGTGCTAGCTTTCCTTTAAGGCATCAAGACCTACAATAGAGAACCCTCACAATTTACGCCAGTTAGAAGCACACATTTTAGAAAAACAAAGAAGCCACCACACCTCTCTATGATTCACTGTCATCCAAATATTGAAAAGAAAATGTGAGCATAATCATGACTCATCCATGTTATGAGATTCTGCTACTAATGGTGCGTTCTGTCCACAGGCAGCAGAGTGGAAAGGGACCCATCAGTAGATCTGCTCAGAGGTCCGGTCACCAACCATCAAAAGAACCCTCTACCTCTGTCTTTATGGGAGGGCAGAACCCTGTGGCCAGATGGTCCTGATCCCCTGTATTACATGGACATTTCTTTATACGCAGGATACAATATTCTGAAGACATAGAAGTTTAAAATATGCTCTTCAGTCTATGCTTCTCTTTTCATTCCTTTAACAGTAACTTCATCAACAAAGAATTTTAAATTTAAATTTAATTCATCAATACCATGTCTCAGTAGTTGATCTCAAAATTCACCAGAAAGCTCACTCTCACAAAGTCTATATACTCTGTTTCCCTGATGTTTTGATGAAGAACACCATGGCCCTGTGTGCAGAGAGGAGTAGCAATGCTGATTCACAAACAGTGGGTGCAGTGTTGACAATAAGCTTATTGTTTGACAAGTACTCAGAGACCAATGAGCTCTGTCTCCAGAGTGAGACACCACTGGGTGCCGAACTGTGTGACTGTAAAAATAAATGCCAGAGAGGAGAAGCTGGTCACCATTATTCCAATTTCAGATATCTTTCGCATTGCAATTGAAAAGGATTAACATTTTTCCCCAGAAATGATTTTAAATCTGAAGAAATTTAAATCAGAAATGTTTAAATCCCATTAAACATATCTGCCATTGCCAAATTCTGCAACCACAGTTTCCTGAATGTTCACACATGTATGTGGTTTTGTGGTCAAGAACAGATGACATATGCGACAATTGTCCATGAGGTCATATAGGGGCTCAAATGTCCCTATCACTTGGGGATCTTGTTTGTGTTATAATGTCATAGCACTTTACATTGTTCACACGTGTGTGCTCTCACTGTCATGAAAACCAACCTACTGGTCTGTCAGGTATGGAAAAGTACAGCCTCTATGGACAAAGTTGTGGTTGAGATCTCCAGGTGTGGGTAATTACACTGATTTTTACACAACATGAAATTTCCAATGTTACATATCTCAGGCCCTATCCCATCCTTCACTTTACTGAATGGTAAAAAATTGGTCACATTAGCCTTGCTTTAAATATAACAATATGTAAAGACAGTCTTTTATGAACATATTTTTGTTTGTTTGTTTTACCTATTCATGATATTACTTTTACTGGAGCACCTGCTTTTAAATTGTTAGGAGGCTGAGAGACCCTGATTTTTGATGTTGAAAATTTATAATTTGGGCAGCCATATTACTACTGTGTAGTAAATGTTTGTTTCTATTTTCTAATTCAACTACTTTGTTAAATACTCATTTTAATTATATATTTAATACTTTTCTGTGAAATTTTAAATGAATATTTCAAATCTGAAACTATTTAAAAATTTGGGTGTAAAGCAATGCATTGACTTTTTTCATCGGTGCTTACTGGGTCAGTCCTACTTCATACTGGTCTTATCCAAGTTCACATGTGTCCTAGTTCACATTGGCCTTTTTCAAGGTGTTCCATTGGTCTGTGTCCATCTCTCCTAAGATGTCACTTATTCTTGTTCACTATGGGTTTGATATGCCTCTTTCAATTTCTAGAAAGCCTTCAATTGTATATGGACATATAAAATGTGTGATGAGGTGGATTTCTGGAAGTTCGTGAAAAGAGCTTCAGACAGAATCTGCATCTTACAGGGTCATCACTGTATGTCCAGAATCATAAAACCTTATATAAGGGTCTAATGTGCTCCATGTAATGTTACCGAAGGAGACACAAGCATGGTCAGAGAACCTTCTGAGTCAGAGACACGGTGGACCTGGGTGTGATATAGAGCACATCTTATGGGTCTGTGTTTCATGGTTACCCTGACTGTCCTGTCATCTATTGAAATACCCAGTGCCCCACTGGAATGACCACTGGCTAAGGGCTCCATGGAGTGAAGGGCAACACAATCCACCCAAACAGAGCTGTGCTTGTTCTTGGGAGAGCTTTCCATCAGGAGGCACCCACAGTCAATGCCACATACATGACTAAGGGTGGCACCTTCTCTGTGAAGGTGAATTAAGTTTCTATGGGAAGCAAGAGCACAAAGAAATGTGAGTTGTGTGAGCAGAAGAGAGCAGAGCTCACGTTCACTATATATCCTCTGGGCAGATGAGGGGCATGCCAACGAAGAGCAAGTATTTCAGTTCAGCAAGAAGGATCTCTATCCATTCTCATTTTTAATCTGTAAATAATGATCATTAATTTTATTCTAATTCACAATAATTTTATTAAGCAATCTTGTTCTGGACTCCTCTGGGTCCCTTTGACTATAAAAGATAGAGTAAATGTACAGTCCACCCTGTCAGGCCAGTGTGAATTCTGACACAATGGTTGAAATATATGGTTTATTAAGCTTTACTTACATAGGCAACTCTGCTTCTCAACCCCGCAGGGCCAGACCCACTGAATCCTGTAGCAAAAATCATGGTGAGATGATGTGTGGTGGCTTGTATTATCTTATCTGCATGCTCCTCCATGACTTCATCCCCAATGTCCAAGATTGTGGCAGAGTCCATGCAGTGGAAACGTCCTAGGACCTCTTGTGGTTAGTGTAAGCACTGACTAATGATACCTCTACACCAGCTCTCACACATTTATCTCCTCTTTCTGAATGCAACATTTATTTCAATATCTGGTTTCAATTCTTGTGTTACAAGTACTACACAGATGACATAGAATGCAGTAAGCCCATATGATGTGATGCCTTTGGCTCATTGTTAGATGCTACTGTAAGAAAAGCGTGTCGATTGACATGAGGAACTGTAAGTCAGCTGTCCATGGCAGTGCTGTGTGGACACTGAATCCTTTTCACAGACTTCAAGCTATGGCAACTGCTATGGGAACCATGATGTGTAGAACAGAGCAATCACCTGTTCCTTCTCAACCCATTCACAGTATCCTTGGACCATAGGATGTACCCGATCTGCCCTCAATGAGTCACGAGAGCCATTTCCTATGGGCATTTTTCCCATGGCCATATGTGGTCTCTCTGAATGTCAGGCAGGACAGTCATTGCTGACACTTGAATAATCTGTGGTTTCAAGAGAAATGCATGGACCTTGAGACCATTAAGACCTTGCATACGTTCCCCATGTCCTTACACTGCAGGGCCACAGGCGGTCATTTCAACAGGGACACTGGTAAGCCTCCTTGCTGACTCCTGTCTTCTGGGTGTGTCTTCTGATTGGATAAAACAGGTCTTACTCAATGTGTCCTTATGCTTCAAGGCATTTTGGTACTCAGGCTCCATAGGGTAATCTCTGTAGTAGCCAGGTTACCACTACCATCTTCCTGCTTGATGGTTAAGGCACAATGAAACACCCATGGGTCACTAATACCTGAGCACTTTGGCTGTTCATACTCATTGGGAAAAAGAGCCCATCATTTAGCTGAATGAACTGACTCACTATTAACTTATTCCCCAGTATTTTCTCTCATCACAGTTCAGTAGATTTCCCCACAATAGCCTGCCCATACACCGAAAAATGACACCTGAAACCCAAGAACCATCTTTGTGGTCTTTTGGGAGATGTTCAAGAACCAGTAGCTATATCCCAACAGGAATCAACAGAACTCCATGTTCCCCAGGGTTAACCATGGAGTAAGAGGTTCTCTGGTCAATAACATGAGGAGCAGCCCCTTGCATTGGTCATGTGTCATGACCCAACATAATTATCCCCCTTCTGAAACCTAGCCACTCTTGGCACAGCTATCCTTAGGAAGGGATTGAATTTCAGGCTCAAGACTTTAAGGATATTTTAGGTTCAAAACTACTTTTGGTTCTTCAGTCATAGAGGACTTTCCATGCTAAATAATCAGCTTATAACCATCTCTGCTGAACATTCCCATATTTTTGCTTATGTTAATTTTGGCTTCAAAATTACAGCACTAACATAAGTGAACACATGGACCTTCCTCACATGGTTCAATCTGCAACAATGCAAGTTGTAGATACATCCTCAGTGATGTCTGAGTGTGAATATCAGTGTCCACACACAGTGATCAAGGTATCACAGTTGAGTATGCTTACAGGACTTATCATTCCTCAGTCTCTTTTTCAAGAGTGATTTTCTCAAATGGTCAGGCATGGAGGAGTTTCACTGACATCCTCTATGTGAACTGCATGTTCCCCACATCTAGCTGCTTGGCAGGGACTGAGTTCTCATTTAGTTCCAAGGACTGATGAAAGAATATATTTTTCATTGTATGGGGGATGCCATAGGCAGTTCCTAACAAGGAGAACAGTGAGAAAGTCCTCATTCTTACAAGACCATGGATCTGAACTGGATTCATCTAGTAAGTGTATATTACGTCTGTATTGGAACATCATCCTGAAACAAACTACTATGGGCTTTATCTAACATCTAGACTCATATGACTCGTGGTCCAGGTGTGTTTGAAAATCAACCAGTCAGTGCCGATCTCCTTCTTTCTCCCTCTCTTTCTCTTCCTCTTTTCCTATCCATTTTTCTCATTAAAGATAAAGAAAAATATATTTTGTGATTATTAAAATATGAGAAATAAAATAATTACTACATTTTAACCTGTGCCCACACAACTGAGCCAACTGCTTCACGTGTTTGGCACGTGATCTAGGAGGATAAATTGTCATAAATGGGGAGGAAATGAAAATGGTGGATACCTTTTAGAGCTTCCAGTGATGGACACACCAAGAGAAGTCAACCATCATGACCAGAGGAGGAATTATAAGTGCAGGATGTTTGTCTTCAGGAGACACAAAGTCATTATTTCCCTTATGCTTTGATCAAATATGAACAAAGAGTAGAGAGTGCCTGTAGAGCATACAGAGCCAGTGTGGGAGGATGTGAAGCATCTATGTGGATCATTGGTACACAGAAGCATGAACTCCACAGAAGTACAAAGAGTGCTCCTTGGTCATGTTCCTTCAGGAGGCTTTAGTGCTTAATGTGCAGCGGATTCACTGCCTCTTTTAGTTATTCTTCTCTAGGCTCTATGGTAAAACCATATTTAAATATTGGGGGTGAGAAGAAACACAGTCCTGACAAGATCTGCTTAGGTGAAGTTGTTGGTAGAGATTGGGAGGCTATTTTTAAATTATAGAAATTTCATTATGGAAAATCTTGATACTAATCACTAATACTAAATAACAGAAAAATATTAAATCATAAGTGGTAGAAAGACACTGATATTAATATTATTACCCACTTTGGAGGCAAGAATCTCCTCTATCTTGCCTCAGTCTGATCAGATGAGAAACACCTGTACCAAACCTGACAGGTCACACCTGGAACAGGTCTCCACTATCACCCCGGTGTCCTCACCACTGCACTGAATGATTTAGATACATTCGTTTTAAATACAAACAACTGTTTGACCCACTTCTTTGCATGAACAAAGCTTTGAATGCAAAATAATGTAACCTAGGTAATCAATAAAAATTGTTGGATGGTTTAAGTAATAAGCTCTACATATCTGGATGTATGTTATTGAAGAGTCACCAGAAGTTGGAGGATGCATCTCAAGAAGAAAAATCTGAGCCTTTTGGTTGGAACCTGAAAATGTAGGCTGGCCTGTTATAGGCCAGCAGAGGGGAAGAGACAGACCCTGACATCCAGAACCAGGTGAGTCCCACATTCATCAGGTGGTCTCTGGCCCCTAGGATTGAACAGATGTACACTGCTCAGTCCTGGCCATAGGGAGAAAATGAGCTTGGTTGGAAATTGGTGCACATTTTTCTCATCCAGAAGCAAGTATAATAGGCATGCATATGTTTACCTGATTTTAGATATGTTACTGAGGTGTACTAATACCTAGGAAAGGAAAAGTTAGGTCTACTGTTAGAAAACAGCTGTGATATTTTGGATATTAATAACCACTGCGAAGGAACAGTAGAGCATGTTACAGTGAGAGTGGGGAGACACAGTACAGAAAAAATCACAATTATTCACATAAAAAATAAAGGTAAATATATAATTGAGATCCCTACCAAACTTATCAGTATGAACACACCAGGGGAAACTAACCCTCAATACCAGAGGGAGAAATGTGTAGGAGGTTCATGTTAAAGAGAAAAGAAGTTCCATCATACCTTTGTCCCCTACACAGTGATCTGCATATGACGAAAGGGCTGCACGTGACTCTAGAGCATGTGGACTCTGTGTTGAAGGAGGTGGAGCATCTGTGTGGCTCACTGAGACGTTCAGTGGTGTTTGGTTCTGAATGTGCAGCAGCTTCACTGCCTAATGTTTGTGTTTATTCTATAAAGTCTGTGGCAAAATCAGGTTTAAATATTGTGGACACAGAAGAATCTTAGTCATGACTAGATCTTTTGAGATGAAGAATTAGGTTGGATTTGGGGAGTAGGTATATTTAAGTAACGTAGTTTCATTATCAAAAACCATGATGCAAGTCACTAATACAAATTAATGATATAAATATAAGCATTATTGATATGATGGACATTATTTTTTGTCAATAGATTACACAGGAGGAATAAATCATTCCAATATTCTCCCGTTACTTGAGACAGTGGATGCAACTTTATACATAACTGTTCATTCCTGTAGGTTCAACTTGAGGTTTGCCATCAAGACCTGTATCTATGTGAATAAGTGCTGTAGCTCTAATCAAGGAGCAGGACAGGGAGTGCACTGCGGACACCTGTATTATCAATAGTTAATTTCAGAAGAACCATCTCTTCTCTCTCAAGTTCCTATCCATGCCTTCATGAGATCCTTTGTAGTGTTGTTACCATGTCCTCCCACAATGGACATCCAATGAATTTCATCCAAATGCACTGAATGGCTCAATTTGAAAGTGGGAGAAGGACCTCCATGCAGGGATATAATTAAGAAAGACAGTGAAAGAACTGTGTTTCAGCTAATGCTGACATCTTCCCTTCCTCCTTTTTTTTTTTTTTTTTTTTTTTTTTTGTCTCAACCCAAGTGACATGCAGACATGTCCTTGGTTGTTATAGAGCTCAGATGTACAGGTAGTTAGTTTTTGGATGTGACTCTAAAGATGGAGATGTGGATCTTGAGGGACAGGCTGTAAAATATTTTTTTTCTATTTGCAATGTATACACCCCATCTACTCCAGAGTTTTCCAGGAGCCTGTTGGGTCCAGTCCATAGTTCTGCTAGTTAAAGAGAATACAGAGGTAGTGAGGGTGAGGGAGAATATGAGGGTTTCAGCTATCCTGTGCTCATTTGAAACTCCAAACTAATCATTCCAGAAATATATTACATTTTTACATTGAGAAAAGACTGGAAGTGAAAATAGTAAATAGTAATTATGTATGTGTACAATCCCAGATTCCTTATATGTTGGGATTATTATGGAAGTGGATGAACTGACCTATTTTCTTCACCTAGTAATGGTTAGGGGTACCAGTGCCCAAGCTGTGAAAAGATTTACAAAGAGAATAAAATAAAGAGAACAAGTTTTATTCTCTTTTTAAGGGAGGAAAAGTGTATAAGTGTGCAGAGATATACCAGTAGTAAGATGTAGGAGCTTTGAGTGTTAAATAAATTATTAAAGAGCAGGTAGGCTTTATTTGTGTGCACACCAGGCTGTTAGGAGTACTGCAACACAGGAGGTTTAGGTTTTTGAATAAGCTGCAGTTTGCTCCAGTGTTATCCTTTGCTTGTGGCTGTGGGACAGGTAGTCATTCTCTTCTTGTTTTCTAGTACTTTCCCTGTCCTGGGGAGATAAGCTCAGAAGAGTAAAATGGAAGTCACATGTAGCAAGGTCATTAGCTCACTCAATAAGGGGTGACACAAACAAATATGCCAGTTTATCCATTCAGTATTATCACTGATGTTAGAGTACATAAAAAAGGAAATGAGGCAATTTCTTAGCACAGATTTGCTCACATGAAAGGGTACTTCAGTCATGACAGGAAACCCTCATTACCACCCTCCCTTGGCCCTGCTTCTGATGATGGTCACTGTGGTCAGAGGGTACAGGGCTCTCCCACACAACAAATAACCTTCTTAACTTATTCTTTCAGATGTATGATGTGGAAATATATTCTTCATTTCAAATGTGTCTTTTCATTGGTATAATGGATTTTTGGGGGGTACATTTATTTGTTAAACAAATTTTAAGTTAATGTTTTCAATTTGTTTTCTATTGCATGCTATTCCAAATAACTCCCCAGGACTTGGTCAGACTCTATTGTCCATCTTTGTTGATTACACTAGCCACAGAGACTAGAATGGAGAATGTACCAGGGGTGGAGTGCTACAGGAAAAATTACTCCGAAATCTGGAAGTGATTTTGGAACAGGGTAAGAGGAGGATGCTGGACTTATTTTGAGTCACATACAGAAATATGCCTCATTTTCATGAACAGAATTTTACTCAACATATTGGTGCAAATACTTTGTAAATGAAGACACAGATGGAAGTGTAAGGCATTATAAAAACAGTTTATATCATCTTAGAAAATACCAAAATAATAATAAACACAAATTGGTTAGAGAGAGACACTTTAAAGACTCTGAATGTGGAGATGAAAAGAAATAAGGAACATGGCATTGCACATGGCTGGAAATGAGATTTCTCATTACCTACATACATATTTTCACAGTGCGTCTGTTATCTAAGGCAACAATGTCACAAGTCTAGGGGACTCAGATTTGTACATTTTTTGGTATTTTATATGACATAGTCACACTATGTATTGGAGCTCCATTTATGAAATGTCTTGTCAATTGTAAGGAAGAGAGAAACCCTTTTGTCTGGAGCAGTCCTCATAATGGACTGCCTTTATGAGGAGCTATAGTCTCAGGGGACAAATAGACTTATCTCAGCCCATAATTGTCATCATCATCATCATCATCATAATCATCATAATCATTTTCATCTTTCTTGTTATCATCATTGACTTACTTATGATGATATCTTTCATTTTCTATGCACACAGTGGTTGACCGCACAGACTGACTCTTTATTCTGTCCTTTGCTCATTTTTTCTGGTAGTTAAGTAGAGTAGGTAGTCAGATTCTACTTTATTTTATACTTCACTAATGACAGCTAATGTCTCATTCCTGCCTCTGTTCCATCTGCCCCAAACAGGAAATTTGATAAGAGGGTGGGTGTGCTCTTTAGATGGCATTGGGAGATTGAATCCACAGTAGCCCCTGTGAGCAGAATTCCTCTCCTCCACCACCTCCTTTCTTGGCTCTATCAAAGCATGTCTGACTTATTGAAGTGCCTTTCCACTTCCTTCCAGGAATTTCAACTCTGTGTGATAAACACTCCATGTCCTCTTGCTGTGTGTGTTTACCAACAACCTGGACATTCACATAAAGCTCTCATGGGTGTCTCTCCCCTCTAATGTCACCTAGGCTCAGAACTATGACCATGAGGCCATATCAATGACTCATCACCAGGGGTCCTTATCTTCTTGTTTTGGAATCATAGGCCGCTGCTGCCTAATGCTCTACATGCACATATCCTGTTGCTGGCCGCTTTGGACACTGAACTGCATAGGGCTGTTCAGTGTCTCCAAAACCTTCAGTGTTCTGGTTAGATTCTTCTGATGTAGGTCACACATTTTTATGACTCGTTTGAATTGTGGACAAGAGTGTCTGAAAGAGACATGTGACAATATATTGTGTACATGAGAATACTACCTTTCTTTGCAGCAGACTTTTTTTAAACTTCACAGGTGAATGTAGAATCAGGAATCCTGAGAAGTCCCCTGAGGAAAACAGTTATAAGAAGAAGAAACCACATAAAAAACCAGCCCACACCCAAAGTGCAACTGCTCCCGTGATGGTCCCTGTTTCCAGGAACCCTGAGTGCCCCCTGGTGGTCACAACCCCTGCTGGATGGAGGTTTATCTATGGGTTTTTACTGACTCCCCATCACTGTGTTTCTAGTACAATAATACATGGCTGTGTCCTCAGCTCTCAGGCTGTTCATTTGTAGGTAGAGCTCATTCTTGCTCTTGTCTCTGGAGATGGTGAATCGGCCTTTCACAGAGTTGGCGTAGTATATGCTACCACTATCCCAATTAATGTATGAGACCCACTCCAGCCCCTTCCCTGGTGCTTGGCGGACCCAGTCCATGCCATGGTCATCAAACTTGTATCCAGAAGCTGTGCAAGTGAGTCTGAGAGACCATCCCGGCTGCACCAAGCCTCCCCCAGACTCCACCAGCTGCACATCACACTGGACGCCTGCAAACACAAACACATCAGGTCAGGAAACTGTAATCCCTCCATGTTTCGCCTCAGTCATATCCCCTCTCATAGTCAGTGTTTTTGTTCTTCATCAATTACCTCTTAAAATAGCAAAAAGGAAAAGCCAGCTGAACCCAAACTCCATGGTGCGTGTTGTGCGTACTGTCTTGATGAGGGGCTGGAAACACCTGGGAATCCTGGGCAGGCCTGGTACTGGGCTGCTTTTCATGAGCAAAGGGGCCCTATTTGCATGTTATCATACTATATAGTGAGGTCTGGGCTCGTTGGATGCATGGAGGACATGGTCGCAGTGTATTACTTGTCCAAGGGCTTATGCCTGTTAACAGTTACTCCTCAGCTTGAGACAGCTTGACTCATTGGATTGGAGCATTATCCTGAATCAAATAAGTGTATGTTTTATGTTACATCTGGATACAAATGATTCCTGGTCCAGGTGTGTACAAATATCAACCAGTCAATGTCAATGTTTCTCTCTCTCTCTCTCTTCCCTGTTTCTCTCCTTCTCCTTTTTTAAAAGGCAATTCAAATATCTTATGTGAATTTAATAAAACAATATGAAAAACAGAATAATGACTTCCTACATTTTGGCCTGTGCCTGCCACACTGCCAACTGCTTCAGGTGTTGGGTACATGACCTAGGAGTATATATTGTTATAAATGGAGAGCAAGTTAAAGTGATAAAAGTATTTGAGAGTCACAAGTAATGATCACACTAAGGTAAGTTTACCATAATGACCAGAGCAAGGCTTAAAATTGCAGGATACTTATCTTCACCGGACATGAAGTTCCATCTCTCACCATTTCCCCTACAATGCTACCAGAATATGAACAAAGAACAGAGAATGACTTTAGAGAATATAGAGCCAGTGTTGGAGTATGTGAAGGATCTGTGTGGCTCACGAGTAGACAGAAGAATGAACTCCACAAAGAATTAGACAGTGCTCAGCCTCAGCAGTCCTGCCTTGTTATCAGTATCTCAGGATATATGGTCATGTGACATAGTTCTAATCAGGGATATGAAAGACAAGTTTATTCCTGGTTAATCAGAAGTAAATTTCACAAGTTTCAACTACTAACACTTTCTTCCATTTTTATCTTGTACATGACCCTTGGGAATGATTTTTCCGCATAAGATGGACATTATCTTGGAATGAAGTCACATGCTATGCGGATCAGTGTGCACAAAAGGAAGAAATATCCCAGGTACATGGACCGTGGGAGTAAGCATGCCTGAAACCAACACTTCCAGTATTCTTGTTCCTTACGTTGAGATTTTCCTTCTTGTGTAGCAAGTTCAGGTTGTCTTCTGTTTCTTTCCTCAGAAATAGTCTGACATAGTAATCTAATCATTAATGTAAAAAAAGGACTGATTTGAAAAGTAACCCATCATTTTTACTGACATCTAAAGTTAAATATTTAGACATAAAGAGAAATATTACTATTTTAGACTTGGATAGACTTGGAGAGTGTAATGCTGAGTAAAATAAGTGAGAAGGAGTAACATCAATTCCACATGATCAAACTTATATGTGGAATAAAACTAAGAAAAAATAGAAATAAGCAGAATATAAAAAGACTTATGGACTCAGAGAAAAGACTCATGGTTTCAGCTGGGAGGGTATTTGGGAGCCTGCATGAAAGGAGAATAGAGATAAATAAGTACAAATCGACATGTACAGGTTAAACATAGGGATGGAAATTACAACACAGGTAATAAAGTCAATAATATGGTAATAACTATGTGTGGTTCCACGTGGAAAGTGGAAATATTCGGCTGTCACATCACCAATTTTGTAAGTCTGGCCACTCTGCTGTATGTTAGATCTTAAATAAAATAATATAAAATGACAATTGGAATTAGAAAATAAAAAAGAGAATTAAAATAAATTATGTGATACATTTTAAGTATATTTTATTGATTGTGGTATTACAATTGTCCCAATATTTTCTCCCCTTTATCCTCCCTCCACCCTGAACCCTCCACCTTGCAGAATTTCCCCCACTTAATTCATCTCCATAAGTCAAACATATAGATTATTTGGTTTCTCTATTTCCTATGCTATTCTGAACCACCCCCTATTTATTTTATGCCTACCAATTCTTCTTTTTCTCTGTACCTTTCCCCTCCATTTTCCCCCTGTCTGTCCCTTAACCCCTTCTTGTCTGTAAGGCTTGTTTTAAGAAATCAGCTAAAAGCCTTATTATCATCCCTTTGTAGAAAACTCTTCTTTCTCTTGTTTCTTTTAAGATTATCTCTTGACAAGGGGCATGGATGAATACCAGGACTATACTCATGCATTTCATCTTTATTGTGAAATTTCTGAACATCTTGCATGTTTATTGGAGACTACTATCATTGACAACCGTGTCCTAGTATTATTCACTCGTGGTCTATACCTCAGTATAAAAACTGGGGGCTGCTAATCTGAACTACTATAATTCTCTGTCTGCAGAAGGGCCTTATCTGTTTCTCCCAGAGATTTCAACTGTGCGCATGATAATTGCTCCACATCCCATTGGAGTGTGCTTTTGTCATCATTCTGGACATCCACATGAACCTGTTGTGGATCCCTCTGATCTGTGTGGTGCCACCTATGCTTGGTGCTGTGAGCATGATGCCAAGTCAATGACCGTGTCCACTGGGGAGCATTCTCTTCTGGCCTTGGGTTAATATGCTTGTGGTGCCCCTGGACCTACGTATGGTTACGCCAACATATTTCTTTCTGAACGGGGCCCTATTCCTGGTTCACATCTGACAGCTACTTGCTGGGATCCCATTTGACAGATGGACCAGCAAGCTCTCTGGGCTAAATGAAAGACATTAATCCCTTTCATTGCCCACTCTCATGACCTGAGCATCTCCCAAATTGCACACCATATACTCTCCACTTTGGTGATGTGGAATTAAACACATAAACTTGGTGGAACAGAAGTATTCAGAACACATCAGTGCCTGAGAGCCTCTATGGAATAGGTGGTCCTTTGAACACTTTGAGTCAGTTCACTAAAGGAATTTCATGCTCAGACCTACAAATTCTACATAAATAAATGTGTGCAGATTGCATTCTAGTTGTGTGGTAATTTATTCCATTGCCATAGGAAAAAAGAACAGGCTGGATGTGGTATCTAATTGGTAAGGGTGACCTTACACTGCTCACTGCTGTGTGGTGTCATCAGTGCTGGCCCAGGACAGAGATGCTTGCAGGAGTGTGTTCTAAGCTGATGAGACTCCTTAGAATCTCACCTTGAAGGAGGACTAAAAGAATATTCTGATGTCATAGACTGTGCTGGAACCTGGACCATCTCTCAAACCTTGAATTTGCTGCCACAGTGCCATCTCTAAGGTGTGTGGACAGAGAAAATGACATAAAAGTTCATCCTTGATGTTCATGTATTTACTTTTACCCAACCACAGTTCCTTTGCTCAGAAATTAAGAAATGCCACAGAACTTTCTAGCAAACACTGCAGTCCAAATCCCCAAACCTAACCCTGGCTAAGGATCCCCAGATGATACCTCAATGAACATCATTCAGATTACAGGAAAGTTGCACAATCAGAGTGAAAAATAGGAATCCTTTCTGGAACAGCTTTCCTGGCTATTCTTCTCAGGGCATCTGTCTTCTATAAAAGTTTCCTTGAATTTCTTTCTTTTTTTTTTTTTTTTATTGTTCAAATGCATTTGTCTCCATTTTCCTGCCATTTTCCCCTGCCCCACCTACTCCCACCTTCCACCCTCAACCCTTCCCCACTTGGGCTTAGTCCCTGGGTCCTTTATACATCTTCCTTGACTTGATCCTTCCCATTCCTTTCCCCATTGCCTCCCTCCCTCTTTCCTTTCATTACTGAGTTTGTTTTTTCTTTCAATGTTGTTGGCTATATTTTTCTTCCTTGTCTGTTTTGTTGATTAGGTTCCACTTACACGTGAGATAATATGTTATTTGTATATCACCCCTGGATTATTTCACTTAGCATAATGTTTTCCAGTTCCATCCCTGCTGTTGCAAAGGGTAGTAGCTCTTTCATTCTTTCTGCTTCATAGTATCCCATTGTATAACAGTACCTTAGTTTTTGATCCACTCATTTATTGATGGGCACTTAGGCTGCATCCAGTACTTGGCTATTGTAAATTGTGCTGCTATGAACAATGGGATGCATAAGTTTCTTGGAATTGGTGTTTTGGGATTATTTTGGTATAATCCTAGTAGAGGAAATGCTGGGTCAAAAGAAAGTTACATTTTTAGCTTTTTAAAGAAATTCAAACTCTTTTCCATAGTGGGTGCAATAGTCTGAATTCCTACCAACAGTGTACTAGGGTTCCATTTTCTTCACAACCTTGCCAGCACTTGTTGTTTCTTGATTTGTTTATCATGGCCTTTCTGACCGGTGTGAGGTGGTATCTCATTGTGGTTTTAATGTGCATTATTTTTTTATGGCTAGTGATGCTGAGCATCCATTCATCTGTCTCTGTGCCCTCTCTATGACCTCCTTGGAGAAGTGTTTGTTCAGTTGCTTTGCCCATTTTTTCATTGGATTATTTGTCTTCTTGGATTGCAGTTACATGAGTTCTTTATATATTATGGAAATCAAACCCTTATCCGAAGTATCATTGGTAAATTTATTTCCTCGTATGGTCGGTTCCCTTTTCATTTTGCTGATGCTTTCTTTAGCCATGCAAAAGCTTCTTATTTTGATGAAGTCTCATCTGTTTATTCTTTCCTTTATGTCTTTTGCTCTAAGGGATATATTGGTGAAAATGTTGCTACATGGGATTGCTCAGAGATTCCTGTCTACGTTCTCCTCTAGGACTTTTATGATGTCACAACTTACACATGTCTTTTATCCATACTGTGTTTATTTTTGTGTATGGTGTAAACTGGTGGTCAAATTTCATTTTTTTTTTTTTGCATATAGTTGCCCAGGTCTCCCATCACCATTTGTTGAAGAGGCTATTTTTACTCCATTTTATGTTTTTGCCTTTCCTTGAATTTCTGATGTGCTAGTGGCATTATCAGTCCTGATGTCCAACCCTGACTGTCTGTAAGTCAAGAGACCCATTGGCTTGTCACCTCCTGAGCCCAGCTGAGCTTCCCTTCCTTCAGGGTTTGTGGCACTTTCATGATGTGGGTCATCACACTGTGTCCCTCATACAGTAATAAGCAGCC